TTACCGTGATTCTTTGTTCTTAAGCTCTGGGTTATCAGACCGAGCCGATTCTTGACCTAAAGTAGGTCGGCGTATGGTCGAATTTGGAAATCCCTACACCACAACTGCCCCGGTTATGATACGAGCCGAGCTGGTGGGTGTCTTAATCCTTCATTTGGTTCTGCCACCGTTGGTCCATTCTTGGCTGATGACGTCTCGCGGCTCTCCACCACCTTCTTCGGTACGTTTGCTGCTTCCGCTGTCACTCCCTTGGCAGCTCCTTACTCCTCGCATGTTACTCCAGCACAACTCGCGGCGCCATCATTCTTCTCCAACTCCTCGTCGAGGTGAAGGCGTGCCAGCTGAGTCGATTCCCCGACCCGTCGGTACTCGTGGGGTCAGCGACCGGCCTGAAGCTGGGTTGGTCGACCTGACAACTTCCCATGAGTCTGACGCGGAGTCGGCGGGGTCTTCTCGCGTGCGCCCTCCTGGTCCACCGAGCTTGCCGGGCGACACCACTTCGGGCGCCACCAATCAGCCAAGCTCGGCTGCTCCAGTGAGTCTTGTGTGGTGTTGGAAATCCCACGTGAACGCTAGCTACAAATGTAGTTAGGATGTTCCCACAACAATACGTCACTAGGATAGTAAACGATCGTTCGGGCGGACCTGAAGACCCCAGTTCTGCCCTTGCACCGGGACAAACTGGACCTTGTAAACTACTTATATAGGCCAACCAGTAAAAATAAGAACACGCTACTAGCACGAGCAAAGCTAGCAGGTGTTTTGAATCCTCGTGGTCCCAACAGCGGAAGGGTACCAGGCACGGGTAAGCCTTTTACGAGATCACCGAGTGTTCAACACTCGGCTGGAAGAATAAAAATGAGGCAATTCAAGCACTCCCAGTTGTGCAAATATGCAACAATAAGCCGTCACGTAAAACCTCCCGATAATAATCGGCCAATACACAAAGTCTCTTGGCCTTGCCGGATGAGCCCTCGCTACAGAGCTTCGATTTCACCGACAGGCATAACACACTCAAACAAGCTTGACCTGACGCTTACCTTGAAGCCGGACGTCGCTCTGTGTGCTTGAGTGGAAATTCTGTTCTGTATTTAAGCTTACCCTTCCGGGTCTATTCCTAATAAGAAGTCCTAATCAAGAATACAAATATCAAGTGAACAATGATCCGTTATGGATCTTCTTGCATGCCAAGCGTCGTCTGCACCGTCGCATGAGTATCTTTAACGGCCCGCGCCCTGTCCCAGACGGTGAACGTGCCTTCCAAGGGTCGACGAGTCTTCTGCGAGCTCATCCCAACCTCCACCGAGGGTTCGTACCGTAGAAGGTCAGTTCTCGGCCGCTGAATGCGAATCCGGCCAGTACACTGTTAATAATAGGGACAGCCTGGATTCAGTGACATATGGATCGTATCCAGTATCCGTTGAGAGTTCGGTACTGACGCCGTCGAGTCCCGTGCATCTTGGCGTCTCCGTACATCACATGACCGAGGGTTCGTTGCTTGAACATCTTGGGCGGTGTCACGTCTTTGTCGACGGGTGATAATCCGCAAATACGGAGAAATCACTATACCACACTTGACTCCCTCATGGCCAGGGTTAACGAGCAAAGGTACGAGCGCCAAGAAGAATTGACCTTCTTGGCGAGGCTCATGGCTTACGAATTTACTCGTTCCGTGGAGCCCTCCGATCCCGTGCAGCGGCGAGCGATTTTGCATGCTGATTCTGCGGGGGAACTGTTGGATATCTTGAAAGGCAACTACGCCGCTCTTGATTATCCACAGATCATTGGCGATCTCCGAGCTGACAATCAAGCTGTTCAGGAGGAGAACCGCGCACTGACTCGGCGACTGGACTCTCTTGCTCTCAGCAACGTCGACTTGTCGACTCAGCTCGCATCGGCTCGACAGCAGGTGTCCCAATTGGAGGCTGCTGCCGCGCAGTCGGCTAATCTCCTTGCTTCACTGCGAAAGGCTGTAGCTCTGAGTGAGGCAAAACTTGCTCGGGCTATCGCAGCTGAGCAGAGCAAGGTGGACGCTGCGTTGGGTCAGGTCCAGCTCCATCGTCAGCAACTCTTGGATCGAGACGCTGAGATTGACGTCCTTCTCCGATCCATTTCCGAGAGGGATTCGGCGTTCGTCACTCTTCAGGGCATCGCTTCCAAGCATTTCAAGCAGCTGCAGGAGTCGGTGCGGTTGTACAGCTCCACCGGCACTAAACCATTGCGGCACGCTCAGCCGGTGATCGCTGAGCAGCGGGCTGTGATCTTGCGACAGAAGCGGCTCATCCGTCAGAATGGTATTATTCCGATGCACGATCCTCACATGGCTGCTGCTGCTGGCGGTGGCTTGCAGGTTCCTGGACTTGATCCGTCCGACCTTCTCCTCAACGCTCGGCTGTGTCGTGTCTTGGAGTCTCGCTTCCCTGAGGTTCTTCACATCCCAGCCGGTGAAACTCGGCGGTTGGAGTTGATTGTCCATCCTCGCCGAGATGCTCCAGGGGCGAGTTCCGCTATTGGTCCTAGTGTGGCTCCCCCAGCTAGTCAAGCTTCTTCTGTGACTTCATCGGCAGACTCGGCTGCGGCTCCAGTCAGCTCAGCGGCGGCTACGAGCCACACTGAGCCGACCCTCGCCCAGCTTCACCGTACGTCTTTGGCGAACTTGACTTCGACTCAGCGGCTTCGACGTTATGCCAACCCCAAGTCTCCAACTGCTGCAGGTCCTCGTCATCGTCCACCGGCGCCGCATCCGCCTCAGCCGTACGCTTGTCCACTTCCGGGGAGGATGGACACGAGGCTATCAGTGCTCTTTTGCACTCAAGTTCTCCTCAAGCTACTGTATCCGATGGAGGAAGGCACCGCTCTGGAAAGTACCGTCGTCGGACTCGGCGGAAGAAAGTTCGTCACCTTCAGTTGGGTTCTGCTACCCAACCCGCTGTTTATGTTCGCTCTGAAGACGACGATGACGCTTCGAGAGAAGCTGAATTCGAGTTTGCGTTGCCTGAACCGCCCGCCGATACCGTTCCTGCGGTTGCTTCGACGACTTCGGCGGGTTCATCGTCTTCCGGTCCTCCGTTGACTTCGTCAGTCGCGGCTACTCGCCCACCGCCGGTATCTTCATCCGATGTCGTGGCTTCGCTGCCTGTCCCGACTACGAGCGTTTGTACCCCAGGCTCGACTTCGCCCATCTCCGCTGGGTTGCCACAGTCAAGTGCACCGCTCAGCGTCGTGTCAACGGTGGTTGGGCGCTCCCAGTCGTCTTCTGGCCGATTTTCTCACGTCTCTCCTTCTCGGGGTCTGAGCGTATCTACTACGCCGACTGACCTAGTGACTCCGGCATTGAGTGTCCTCAGGCCGTCTCTCCCTGCGACCCCGGCCGCGAAGACGTCCCCGTCTGGGCGCCCTATCCGGAGATCTGCTGCGACCGCCCGCACTGTGACAGCTCAGCTGCTTGAGGACCTCGACGCGTCTGACGACGAGTGTTAGGGCCTGGTGATGATTCTGCACGTCACCGCTCGCGATCTGCGCTGGGTCGCTCCTGGATCCCATTTCTTTATCCGAGAACTCGGCTGGCAGTCCCTCAGGTTCCGACTCAGCGGCCGAAGATGCTCGTCGCTCTGCCAAAGCGAGAAGCCTTCATGCGGCAATCTTCGGCTCTGACGACGAGATGAGTGATGAGTCCTTGCCGCCGAGTGATCGCCACTCCTCGCAGCATTTATCGAAGGATTCTGATGACGGGACGAGTTCTGCCTCTGCGTCGGCTTCGGGGAAGCAGCAGCGTCGCAAGC